ATAAAGCCCTGCGATAAGTGAAAAACTGCAAAGTAGGAACAGTAGTACAAACAAAACATTGTTTTGAAATATTCTAAACAATGTTTCTAAATTCTAAATGCTCCAAAAGAGCACAGAATGTCATGATCTCCGCTCTCTCTGCCACCTGCCAGTGCTCTCGGCCACGCCCACTTCTCCACTGCAGGAGGGAGCTTCTCACTGCACCTGTGGGCTGCACACAGGTGCAGCAGGTGCTAAATAATTTTAGATTATTTATTTTAAATAAAAAGTCCATGCCGATCATGCGGCTCATCCATCAGTCAGCCAATTCTGTGTCATGTCCAATCTCACTTTGAAAAAACCGTGAAAGAGCGAGTCCATGAAAGTCGAACCGCGAAGTAGTTTATTCTGCATATAAGCTCTTGAGTCTGCATCATCATATTGAGGACTTTGGTTTTAGACCAGTTGCCCTTTTTTAGAGGGACTACATTTTAGGTTTTATTTTTAATTTTAAATTAAATATGCATCTACTGCTTTTGTTTCTTCTTCTTTCGGCTGCTCCCTTCTTCATGGGTCGCCACAGTGAACTAACTCGCACGAAGACTTGGCAATCGTCTTTATGCCGGATGCCCTTCCTGGTGCAACCACAGACCACCGAGCTACCACAGCCCTCTGTGTGGAGCAGAGAGCTGCTATCTATGGTGCTCGGAGGAGCAGAAGGTGGGGTTAAATTAAATGCGGGTGGAGACAGGCGTGGGTGTTTTAACTTTTTCCACCCACATTTTTTGATGTTGTCGGTCCGGGCAGTCAAAATGGCATCCTTCCAATCACAGGCCCACCGTCTCTAACCTCTACACCACAACACCCTACAACATTGTTTTGATGTTTATGAGGGTTTAATAATTCTAAAAAGCTAGGGGAAATAAAAAAAAAAAATGCACACCAAGCAAAAGCTTGAGACTCAAGAGGATAAAACTGTCGGGTTATGGGGGTGGGGGGGTGCTTTTGTTGTGGTCATCGTCTCCTCCCCCACCACCAGCCCTCACTTGGTGGCCGCCCTGAGCTAAACATCTACAACGACCCTTTCTTGTCGTCAGTATAATGTAAAAATGACGATAACGATGATGAAAATGAAGTTACAGGAGCCACTTCAGAGGAGCTGAAGGGCCACAAGTGGCTCCGGAGCCACAGGTTGCAGACCCCTGGAAAACTCAATAATCCCAAGACATTTTAATTTAAACACGCAGCACTAATGTAATCTGTTGCGACTCATTGATTCATTCCATGTTTGGACGTGCACGTCCGCCAGCATCCATCGCAGGGTGGTGCAGCACCCTCCCCACCCCTGCTTCCCACCGCCTTGTGCTGAGAATTCATCACAACTAAAGACGCAGCGGTTCTCTGGTTTCTACTGTCACAAGTTATCGTCACCCATTAATAAACATTTGTTCCTTCAGTTTGAGGCTTTAAGAAAAAAACAGGTTCTGAAACGCAGAAAATCAACACATCTTTATCATCTAGCACCAAAAACCCAACAGAACCACGTTCAAGAAGTCAATAAATACTGACGAGGCTACATGGAGAGCTGGAACCGTCATCTGGATCAGAACAGTTCTGAGCCGCGGGGAATGTGGTCGAAGTTTCAGAAAATCCTTCCAGGTCCTGACTGAACCGAGCTCGGTTCTGGTTCTGTCCTTCAGAGTTCAGAAAAAAAAAAAAAAATCACACAAAAAATAAGTTTAAAAGAGGATTTTGATTCTGACGGGTCTTTATTTGGGTCTTTGGACCTGATTGTTCTGATCTGTTTGACATACGTTCTTTTTATTATAATAATTATTATTATTATTATTATTATTTCTGAGGAAAATTAAAGTGGAATTTAAGGTGTTGTACAGAATTGCTAATCCCATAAATAGATGTTTTTGCTTTTTAATGTAAAAAATAAAGGGCAAAAAATATATTTTTACTTTATTTGACTTTTTTGGGCAGTTTATAAATATTAAGACTTAACTGAATTCATATTTTGATTTGAACTGTAACATTTTTTAAATTAAATTGGCAAAAACTGTTTTTATTTGGCAAAAAATGTATTTGTTGTCTGTAAAGTTCCTTGAATTAACCTTTATTAAAAAAAAAACTGAATCTAAACAAATAAAAAAGTTTTATATATATTTTTAAAAAAAATCTAAAAATAAGAAATGTTTGCATTAATTCTCGTTTTATTTCTAACACTTTTTTTTCGTTGTTGCATAAAACAAAAGTAAAAATAAAAACTTGGAGATTTAAGATTAGTTGAAATTTATAAAAGTTTCCAGTTTTTCTGGAAATGCAGTTTGTGCTACTTTAAATGAAACTTGGCAGCTAGTTATTACGGGAAGACATGAACAAAAAAATAAAGATTTATCTTCATTATTATAACTTTCCACTCATAAAAGGCACTTCTACTTTTGTTTCAACACTTTGTGATTTTGATTTTGTGGGGCTTAAAAAAAACTACAAGAATTTTTTTCCCCACATCAGTTTCTGAATTTAAGTTTGTGAAACTGAACAATAGTTTTTCTAAATTCCCACATAAACTGGCTTCAATCTGAGGTTAGAACGTCTCTGTAAAGTTTAATTTTCAGAACTCGTAAGTCTGAAGGTGAAAACAGGCTAATTTAAAGGAAACAGCTGAATTTTAAAGGTTTAAACCTCACAAATAACTCAACGTTATAAGATTCATTTTGTCAGAGAAGTGTGCATGTTTAGGAATTTCGTTTGTAGCTACTTCTTAATGTTAACTTTTGTAAATTTACCTGCCCCACCCCCAAAGACGTTACCTCTGAGCCGATTGGTCAGCTTTACAGCATGATGTGGCCCCGCCCACTACATTTTTTGTTAATTTAAAGGGAATGTTGGCAGTTTTTTAAAGGTTTAAAATATAAATTATTAAACATTATTTCATCAAATATAAAAGGTACTCGCATAAGGTTTGTTTTGGTGAATAAATTTACTTTTGAAGTTGGTTTTAAAATACTGAATAGATATGCTCAAGGAACAAATTTTTAAAGCTAGTTTTTGGAGTTTTGAGGTAGCTGCCCCGCCCCAAAAACACACTCCGTTCTGATTGGTCAGCCTCAGTGGCATGATATGGCCCCGCCCACCAACTTCCAGCTGCTTTGCTGGAATCAAAACTTTTTTTTAAACTAATTTCTGATCCCAAATGTTGAGAAAGTTACTAAATTTAAAAATGTTAAAGAAGTTTTGGGGAAAAACCCACCTGAATTTAAACGGGCTGTTTTAATCACCAGATTTATCCTCAATTTTAATCCCTTTAAGTCACAACTTTGTTAAATTTAAAATAACTTTTTTGAAATAAAATGCCAGTCAGGCGTCCCGGCCCAGTTTCTGTGATGAGGTAAAAAGCTCAGAACCAGAAAACTCATCTTTAGCTAGAAAGGTTCTGCATTAATAAATCTGTTTGAAAAACTAATTTTTTACTTATTTTGTCCTTCTGGATGTTTTTGACATAAAGTCATAAACATATAATATGAACCCAGTCTTAAACAATTGAGTTACCGGTAAATATACATTAAATGTCAGACAAATGATAAAACCAAAAATGTTTTAAATTCAAACTTGACTCGTTGCTAACTGAATTCATAATAGCTTTTAAATATTCTGGTGTTTTATATCTTATACATAAAAATTATTGAGGTTTTCTTTCTTCAATGAGCAGGTTTTAGTTTGATCTTTAAATAAACATTTAGTTTGTAGAATAATTTAAAAATACGACAATTTTTATTTTCAGTAGCTTCAAATAGCTCAGACCCATCAGACTTTCCAGTTAAACCCTGACCTTTGACCTCTGTGCGCATACAAATATTTTCACAATAAAAGTCTTAACAAAAGCGAGGAAGAAGAAGCTCTCCGATAACTTTCTGATGTACATCAACTTTGTGTGTTTGCAGCTTTTTTTTTTTTTTTTTTTTTTTAATAACTGCCTGTCGGCCTCTTCGGGAGCTCGTCGGTTTGTTTCGGACCACCTCTCGGGTCAGAACGGTTCTGTAGCTGCTCGTTAGTTTTAAATTAATACAGTAAAGAACTGAGTCTACGTCTACTTACTGCACAGATACATTTGAAACCTCCATCATCCTCAGAGGTTCAGCTGCTTCCACATCCTGGTGTGAACAGACGAATGACATACTTTTATTTAACCACATTGTCTGTGGTTATTTCTGTTAAATGTTTAAGGACCAGGAATGAAATGAACACCTCCTCCTCCCATTAGAATGGTAAAGTAAAACCTCCTCCAATCTTCAGGTGGATCTGTGGTCCGGCGGCGTCACTACAAGGCTACATGTGTGAATTTACGCCTGCCGGCAGCTGAGCATCTCCCCGACGCAGCAGGGAACAGGCAAAGCACCTGGTGTCCAGGTGAGCCGGTCAGTGTCCCCCGTCTCTGGAGGATGGACTCTCCGAGCGCCCGTCTCTGACAGTAGAAGACTTCTTCTGCTTCTGCTTGGACCTCCTGAGCATCCGAACCTGCAGATGGAGAAAAATCACAGAATCTGCACCAAACGGTCAACAATAAAATCATCTACAGACGAACTGCAGCGCACCAGAGCTTAAACAGGAAAACTACAAACTACCGTACTAAACAAAACACATGGTTTAATTCAGATAAACTTAGATAAACAAAAAACTGCTATAAAACAAATCATCTCTGACAAAACTTTAAAAAATAAACCAGTGCAAGAAGTCCAAAAAACACTGAGGGACATGGATAAAATAAAATAAAAAATAAAAAACTGCACTGATACAACCGACGTTAACATTCTGATGCAGAAACACCTGGAAACACCTGAAAGGCTAGAAACATCTGCAAAGACCTGGAAACACTGAACAAACCTGAAAGCATCCTACAACACCTGAAAACATCTGGAAACACCTGGGAATACTTGACATAACTGTGCCAAACTATAAACACCTAAAAAAAAATAAACACCTGGCAACCCCAGAAAATACTGGACGCACCTGGAAACATCTGTAAAGACTTTGAAACACCTGGAAATACTGTAAACACATGATGGAGTTGTGAGGGATGTCCAAATTTTTGACTAGTGAAGGTTTACTCAGAAACATAGGAGGAAAAAATCAGCAGTTCTTCACAAAAACGTGGCCTTACCTGAGCCACAGGTGAACAGCAGGCTCCGAATGGAATAAACATATAAATTAAATTGAAGAGTCAGATAAATTTATTTGAAGAAATGTTGAAAGGTCTAACAATGTCTCTAATGCACGATAATAATAATAATCTGGGACTTTCTTTTGTAATACTCTAGTCTATGACGGTGGCAGACTTTTATTTTGAAAAGTATCAGAGAGCTTTATTTTGAAGGTTCAGGTTAGAGCCTCTTTCCGTTTATTCAGGTGTTTCCTCCTGAACTTCAGAACTCTATAAACGTAAAACCTCAGGGACTGCCTCGATGAAAACAACAGAACAAATGGGAACCTGAATTTTACAAGATCCACTGCTGAGTCACCGGTTGCCATGGCGATTCCCACCCTTTGAGCAGAGGGAGGAGCTTACTGCCCCTCTAGTCATCAAACAGAAATTTGAAACTGAAACTCAGACAAACGGTATCTGTGTGAAAACTACAAATCGGATCAAATACCTTGTTGACCCGTGAGCAGCAGAAGGTTCTGATGGAACCACAGATTCAGTTTGATGTCTCTACTGGGTTTAATGAAGGAGATATGACAAGTTAAAAAGAGGCTTAACTTCCTGGTTGGAAGAGAAAACTGAACTCAGACCCAATGGAAGTCGATGAGAGTTTAGGTGTGACTCAGCTGAAACGTTTATTTAACAAATGTAATTTTGTAATTTAAACCAGCTGACCTGATGTGCTGAAGCTCCGGTAACTAAAATCAGAACAAAGCCAACAGGAAGACCTTGGAGGACGAGCTCTGAACAACAGGAGCCCTGCAGGGACAAACCGAGCGTACCTTCGGTCCAGCAGCGGAGATGATGATGAGTCCTGGTGGTTGGATCCACGGTTCTCCGTCCACCTGGACAGGTAGGGGATTTCTAATGGTGAGTCTGATGTAGTTCCCCTGAGCAATCCGGATCCCCGACCTCAGACCACTCTGGACCTGACCCTGCAGACCCACAGACCCACAGGGTCACCAGCTGTTTACCAGTGAGGATGTCTGAACAAATGGACTCACCATGTGAACGACTCCGGTGACACCCACCACCTCCAGCAGACCGTCGTTGATGCTCGGTTTCCTGAATCGACCCTCGACCTCCGACCCCCACAGATCAGCGCCAGAGCCCCAGCTATAAGCAGGGAGGAAGAGGAGCGTGATGAAGTCCACGCCGCAGGTTCTGCTGGGACAGGTGTGCGTGTCTGAGTGCTACCTGGGAATGTTGAGGAAGATCAGACCCTCGATGTTGGGCAACGGGACGTTCTCGTTGTCCACCTGAAGCTGCAGCTCTTTGTGGAGACTCCTGGTGTGGCTGATCTTCTGCAGGCCCACTTTAACATACACACCTTTGTTATGGAACCTGTGGAAGGTGGAAAGCATGGTGGCTGATGGGAAATGTGGTCTCTATCAGCAGGGCCGTGCCTCAGCTTCAGCAGAACACCAGGTGTGAGTAAACATGAAGCAGCAGCTGATGTCTCAGGCGTTACCTGCTGGTGAATTTATCCGGTTCGTCCTCTCGGGCCTGATGGAAGTCCAGGCTGAGCTGCGCGTCGATGCCGAGACCAAAGTAGTTGTTCATCTGGACGATCTAAGAGGAAGAGGAACCATTTCAAGTCTTCATCTTTCACGTTTACAGTCATCTCATGAACCACTCAACAGATTTTAATAAATTAATAAATAAAAAACTCGGAGCAGACTTTGGGCGGTTCCAGGAAGCAGTTGTCCTGTCCCTCCTGTGAGATGTCCCGGGCGTCCAGTAGGATGGTCCAGCGGTCCATCAGAACCTCGTCAGCTTCATCCACCGACACCAGGATGTGGTGGGGGTCGTCGCTGCTGTAACCAGACCCCCAGCGCAGGACCCGAGCCAAGTCGTTGCCTGCCAAGATCGAACCATTATGATCCAATCTGAACCCAGACGGAACCCGCAGAACCGGACCCCGCAGTGCTGGTCTCACCTGTTCCCAGTGGGACGATACCGATGGGCGGTTCCCTGCAGACCAGTTTGTGCCTGACAGCCTCCAGGACTCCCAGCACCCAGCCGACCGTCCCGTCACCCCCACAGACCAGAACCCGGAACCTGGGAACGTCCCGGAACGTGTGAAGACTGGACAAGACAGGAAGGATGGACCGTGAGCATCTGGGCTCCAACATTCCTGCAGAGACTCTCTCGTTTATTCAACCTGTAGTTTCACAAGAAGCTGAGTTCTGGTCAGGACCAGTCCAGGTCGGGACTTGTTGACCTGCAGAGTTCAGTTTTATCGTCTACCTCTTGAAACAAGACCTTTGACATTTTTTAACACTCTCTGAGCTCCAGAGAGTCTAAAGCTTTTACAAACTCCACAGCAGAAAATGTCACGTTTTAACAGAGAATTTGATCAAACTGAATCTTTTCTGTGTTTTCAGGCGAGACGAACTGATGGAGGTCGGCGGCATTTTATTCTGTAATTCTGCAAATGCTGAGTCAGCATTTGAACTGTTCCTTTTTTATCGTTTCTTCTGTACGTTTTCTGGCCTGTAACTTCAGCACATGTTCAGCTCGTTCAGCCACGCAGCTATCAAAACGTTCGGCTCAGGCAGAACATTACAACTCCGACTTGTGGGTTTTGTATCTTTTATACTTTCTGAGTTATTTAACTTTTTTTTTTTTACCTTTTTTTCCTAATTGAAATGTATTAACTTTTAAAATCCTTTAAAAAAATTGTGCCCTTTAAAATCTGTTTCAGTGTCTTTGTTCAGTTTTTACCTTTTATTTACTGTTTTTGTTAGTTTTAGCTTTTAGATGCCGTCTTTTTATTTTAGCTTTTGTTTTGATAAATTTGTGTCATTTATTTCAGCTTTTTCATCAGATTTCAGCGACTCAGCGCAAAATTCAAAAGAAAAATGCAATTTTTCTAGTTTTCAGGGAGTTTGTGAATCACAGGAAGTAGAAAGGGTTGAGAAGCAGCCGACAGGCAGTTTTAGCTGCGTTGATGCGCTCACCCAGCCAGCGGTCCTCCGTTACAGAGGTCGAAGACCTGGTGAGGGTTCAGGAGCTTCCTGAAGCTGTAGAGGAGCTCTCGGCCCTTCAGACCACCGCTCTTTGGGTTGACAAACACCAGCAGGGGACAGACATCCACTCCCAGCTTGTTGTGCTGAAAGACAACAAAGATCGGTGACGGACAGCGCCTCCATCTGAGCATAAATGATGCGTTTTAAATTAAGAGCTCAACGTTTTTTACAGGCAGATTAAATCCTGACGTAGCTGTAAACTCTTTAAGGTTTTAAAACTTCTAGAGAACTTAATGCTTAGTTCTAAAAACTGATTTAACAAAATGTCAGAAGTTCTTTTTGCACTTTTTGACCAATCAGAACACACTGGGTGTTCTGGAGAGGGCGGGGCTTAAAGAAACAGGAAGTAAAACTAAATATTTCTGACAGAATTGGACAACAGGTGCTGCCTGAACGAACGAAATAAAACAAAGATTTCTGATGAAAGAACCTCAAACTTCTCCTGGAAGTCAGAAATAAAAGCATCAACCTGGAAGTCGGGGTTTTATTTTCACATTTCGACATTTGCCAGAAACAGCCTGAGTGTTTGATGGTTACCTCGATCTCTGGGATCACCAGCGAGCTCAGCGGCTTGTTCTCCACAGACGTGTCTTTAGCCAGCATGAAGATCCTCTCAGCTTCAGAGAAACAGGAAATCTGCAACGCCACGGCACCTGAACACAGGGATGACGAATGAAGCGGATCCTGTTTGGGGGTTTTGTCACAGAGATCTCCACCTCTCCTCCACCGTCATGTTAAAGCCTAAAGTCTCTGCCTCAGCTACAAGTTGGGCTATCACTCAAAATAGAACGTTTCGGCTGCTCCTTCAGTCGCATCAAGATAATTTTTCAAAAAAAAAAAAATCTGAGACGTTAAACTATCCAGAACGCTCGGGTTCTTTCTGACGTTTCATTTTTCGGAAGCAGGAAAGTTTCCCGGTGAATCGCAGACAGGCAGTTGGGTCGTTTCCTTGACAACAGCCTCACCTTGACTGCCGTACATGTGGCTGACGGCGACCAGGTGACCTGCAGAGACGGACACAGAGAGGAAGTTAGAGGACGGATCCTGCAGAGAGGCGACCTTCGTCTTCCTGCTTTTGTCCCAGCAGGAGGCGCCGAAGAGAAATACTGACTCTTCACAGCCAGATGTGTTTGGATCAGCTGGATGTAGTCCTCCTTGGTCTTCTGGAGGGGCAGTCCTCCGATCAGCAGGTTCACCTGGACGGCCGGGTTCCTGTTCTCCACCAGGTAGAACCGTGTTTGGTTCATCTGCCGCAGAGAAACCTGACGAAAAACGAAAAATAACGTTTTTATCCAGTAGAACAGATCCGAGCGAGGCTGAAACGTGATTTGTCTGGTTATCAGTTCTGCACATGAACTGTTCTGTTCAACAGAACCGGGTCAAAAGGCACAATCCCACTGAAAAAACCAACAAGTTTTGTTTTTTCTTGGTGTTTGCAGCTTTGGACTACAAGATTTGTTTTTTACTGACAGATGTTTTATTTCCCGTGCTGAGACGGGGTCTGCACAGATGTTTTTAAGTGTGATGCAGTTCCTGTGGTTCTCCAACCTTTCTGATCTCCTGCAGTTTGTCCAGAACCTTCTCCTGAGGGCTCAGCGTTTGTCTCTGGACTGCAGGACAGAGACAGTTTTAATAAACACCGGGGACAGTTCTGACGCTGACCAGACGGAACCGCAGACAGCGCTGAGCTCACCTTGTTTGCTGCTCATGTAAACCTCCTGCAGACTGAAGTCCGACGCGTCTTCATCCTGAAACGCATCGCCGTCTTCTTCAAAATATCTCAAGATTTATTTTGGTTTGGGTAAAACAGAAAAACATTTATTTACCAAAACCTTTCCAGGACTTTCCAGGCCGCAGGAGTCCCCGTCCTTCTGTCCTCTAAGGTGAAGGACTTCGCTAAGGACGGACGCCGCAGTGCTCGCCTCTGAGACAGAGACGGAGACGAAAGCAGCACTCGACCTGAAACATGGAAAAGAACCCGTTTACACGTCCTGAGCCGTGCAGAAATCTTCAGCCAGTTGATGAAAGTCCTCCTGCCTATCAGCAGAGGGAGCCGTCGCACCGAGGTCGAGTTTAAACCGCAGGAGGTGCAGCTCCGAGTGTTTACAGGTAACTTTCTAAAGTTTTCTGTTAAATGTCTAAAAAATATTTTATAGTTTAAGATTTTATTACCTGTAAGGTCCAAAAATCAATTAAAAACACCTTGGTTGTTAAGGAAAATAAAACTACACATCTGACAAAAATAAAACATTTTAAACTAGTTTTTCTATTATTTTTATCACAACTTGCAAGTTTTTTTTAAACAAAACAGTGTTTTATATAAAATTTAAAAACTGTTATCTGTTGAAAGTTTTAAAAAAAAGGCAACTTTTCCATTAAAGCTCGACTAACGAGATTCATGCAGTCTCATATTATAAAATATTCTGCAGTTATAAAGTGTTTTATCGTAACATTCAAACATGGCTGCCATGCAAAGACGTTTCCACATCTTAAGCAAAAATTAGATGTAAACTCTTCGTACATGCAAAGCTTTCAACAACCGAGCTCCATCTTAAAACAAACATCTTATTGTTCCACGTTTTAACAGAGAACTTGGCTCTCAGACTGCAGGTTTACTTGCGGTTCCTAGCGTTTATAAAAGTAGAATGGGAGGCAGAGCTTTCAGTTTATGTCCGTGAGGCTGACACGTCGTCTACTTTAAAGACTGGGCTCCTGTAGAGAACTTATCATTTAAACCAAGAATGTTCACTGGGAACCTTTTACTTCCTGTAGTTCATTAACAGTCTTAAGTGGTGATTGTTTGGGTTAAAGTTTAATTTAGGTGCTTCTATAGTGAACAAAAATATAAACGCAACACTTGTGTTTTTGCTCCCATTTTTCCTGAGCTGTACTCAAAGTTCAAGATTTTTTCCTACGAACGCAAAAGGTTTTTTTCTCTTAAACATTGTTCACAAATTTGTGCAAAACTGTGTTAGTGGCTACTCCTTTGCAGAGATAATCCGTCCACCTCGCAGGTGTGGCGTATCAAGATGCTGATTAGACAACACTATTATAGCACAGGTGTGGCTGACCACAACAAAATGTGAAGTTTTATCAAACAGCAAGTTTTGAGGGAGCGTGCAGTCGGCATGCTGACTGCATGAATGTCCACCAGAGATGTTGCCCATGACTTGAGTTCATTTCTCTACCACAAGTCGTCTCCAAAGACGTTACAGAGAATTTGGCAGTGGTCTCATGTAACCACGTGTAACCACACCAGTCCAGGACCTCCATATCCAGCATCTTCACCTCCAAGATGGTCTGAAACCAGCCACCCGGACAGCTGCTGCAACAACTGGTTTGCATAACCAAAGAATTTTTGCAAAAACTGTCCGAAACCATCTCAGGGAAGTTCATCTGCATGCTCGTCCTCCTCATCTGGGTCGTCACCTGACTGCAGTCTGTCACTGTGACCGACTTGAATGGGAAAACGCTCACATTCGATGGTGTATGGCATGTTGGAGAGGTGTTCTCTTCATGAACGAATCCCGGTTTTCACTGAGGTTGCTGTGCCATTCATCTACAACCATCATGTTGCAGCATCATAATGCACGGCCCCACGTTGCAAGGATCTGCAGACAATCCCTGGAAGCTGAAAACATCCCAGTTCTTGCATGGTCAGCATACTCACCGGACATGTCACCCACTGAGCATGCTTGGGGTGGTCTGGATCGGCGTATACGACGGTGTGTCCCAGTTCCTGATAATATCCAGCATTTTCAGAGCCATTGAAGAGTGGATCAACATTCCACAGGCCACAATCAACAACCCGATCAGCTTTATGTGAAAGAAACTTTATTGCTCTGCATGAGGGAAATGCTGGTCACACCAGAGGCTGACTGGTTTTCTGACCCACTGGGTCCCCAGTAGAGTAAAACTTCACATTTTAGAGTGGCCTTCTATTGTGGTCAGCCTAAGGCTCACCTGTGCAATAATCATGCTGTCTAACCAGCATCTTGACATGCCACACCTGTGAGGTGGATGGATCACCTCTGCAAAGGAGAAGTGCTCACAAACACAGATTTACACAAACTTGTGAACAATGTTTGAGAGAAAAAGGCCGATTGTGTACGTAGAGAAAGTCTTAAACTTTGGAGTTCAGCTCGGGAAAAATGGAAGCAAAAACAAAAGTTTATATTTTTGTTCAGTAAAAACTTGTTTCAACTTCTGGTAACTTTTTAAAATCTCAAGAAAAGTTAAAAGAGGAAAAAATAATTTAGAGCTTTGCTTTTGCTACTAAATATGTTTTACTTCATAGAGACAACATATTTGTTGTTTTTTTTGTTTTTTTTACACGAAAATAGGAATCTTCTTTGTTCAGATCTCAGCAGACAAAATGAATAAGACTTTATCTTAACGATGTTTTCCATTGAATGAACTGACGGCAGAAGTCAGAAGCATCAACACCTGATGGTGATCTCACCTGGGCCAGCCGGTGTACACCTTGATGGTTTCAGTGTTTCGTGGTTTAGCCCTCAGCAGACAGGCATCGCTCGCGTCCCTCAGAGACCCTCGGTTATCCGGACTGCTGGCGTTCTGGTTCAGGATGTCATCGCTGGCGGGACACTGCGTGACCGAAAACTCCTGCAGCTCAAAGTTACTGGGCTCATTGGGCAGGTAGAAAGCCCTCAGCGCCGCCTCCTGCAGGACAGCACAGGTGCTACAATGAGGTAGTGCGGCGGTACCACTCTGACCCAAAACCTTTCAGCATAAAAGATCCAGTCAGCGCACCACAAAGAACTGCTGGAACAGAACTTTAACCAAATACATGTAGTCCTGTTAAAATAGTACAACATTCTTTAATTCTACAGAGCAATGGGTCAAAACATAAGAGCAGCTTTGGTTTTTCTCAGATAAATAAAAAAAACTTTATAAACTTCTCATCGTTTTTACAAATAAACTGAATCAGAATGTAAAAATCAACTTGTTCCAGCCCTGACCCAGAACCTCCTTCAGCAGCAGAACACTCTGTGATTTTATGGTTAGCAGTTTCTCACGTGGTTCTGGAGGAGTTTGGGCCCACTCTGCTTTCCATCACTGGTTTCTGCTCAGCTCTCTGATCGTCCCACCACCACATTTGATTCAGGTTGAGGTTCTGGACTCTGACTGGACCGATGCAGCACCTCGATTATTTTGTTTTTGACCCGTTCTGTTGTAGATCAGCTGCTGTGTTTGGGATCTTTGTCCTGTTGGACCCAGTTTGGTCCCAGCTTCAGCTGTTGGACAGATGCCATGATACTCCAGAACCCTTTGGTCTACGGAGTTTATGGTCCACTCAGGGACTGCAAGGAGCCCAAACCATCAGCCCTCCACCACCGTGCTGACAGCTGGTATGAGGTGTTTGCTGCAGTGCATTCTGGGTAAACACCTGGCCTTTGGTCTGGTTCTGTCCCAGAAGTCTTGTGGTTCCTTCAAATGAAACTTTCCAAACGTGTCATGCTGCCATGTTGTTTTAGAGAGCAGAGTGACCTTTAACCTGATAACTGAGGCCTGAAGTGCACGAGATGGAGATCACTGCATGGTCTGACCTTCAGGGTGAATTTCTTGGGCAGAGTGTCAGCTGTCTGAAATGTTTTCCTCTTGTGAATAATCTTTCTCTCTCCAGGATTATGGAATCCAAATAGTTTGGAAATGACCTTTGACCCTTCCCAGATAGATGGGCAGCAACAGTTGCTTTTCAGCAGCCATTGCTGATGTCTTTCCACTTTGGTGTTGTGTCAAAACACACCTGTATGCCCCAGAGCAGCAAAAACTTTGTTTTTCTAGAGGTAAACATCCTGAGTTTAATTTTTTTACAGTGGTTAGTTTGTGGTTCTGCTCAGCTGCTGTACCTTCTCTTTTAAAAACAGATTGACACGTGTGTGGATTCACAGGTTTCACAGGAGCTGATGGGAACACCAGTAAAAATAGCATACGTGAGTGTTTGTGCTTTCAGGAAGGAAACCTTGTCTCACCACTTCCTCATTCCTCGGGGCTCTGGAGATGGAAACCAGTCGGAAGGAGCTGCGCTTGACTGCGTCGTCGCCGTCGTACACCTTCAGAACCTGCTTACCTGCGAACCGGTCGAAACAAGAACAGCATTAAAACTATACTCTGTGACGGTTCCCGATGATCTGCTTCGCGCCCTGACTGAGTCCACACAGAGGGGTTCTTCAAACCAGCAGGAAGTAACAAAACAGACGTGTTTGAACCGTCTTACAGGCCCACTGAAGATGTTAGAGTTCAATCAGAAGGAGAGACGCAGCATCAGCATCTTGATGCTCACTCGCTCTCGTGTAAGGCGGATGCTTTTTCCTCCTCCTCCTCCTCCTCTCCTGTCCTCCTCCTGCCCTTTTTGCTCTCTGTCTGTGTATTGGAGCTCCTATTTTACACATTTTCCAAAACTAAAACTACTGTCATGGATCTGGTCAACTGGACTTTCAACGCAATCGATAAAATATTTTCAGCAAAGCGACAGGGTCCTGGAGAGCCCTCATGCCCCGCTGAGACCCACGCAGTAGGATACGTCATGGATCCGTGGGGAGTTTGGGAGCTGATGTGTCTTTTTGTTTTGTCTCAGGAGGACGCTGAAGATGTTCATATAATTGGATTCATGATAGCAGAGTTTCTGCTTTTTGTGGATTCCTGTGTTATCGGCTACTGAAGAAGGCGACGGCAGCAGTTTCGGCCATGGCAAAACTGCCAAGTCTGTGTGAAGGTTCGGTTCGTTCTTCAAATACTCAAAATCAGCTGATTTACAAGCTATACCATAAGATGGAAGTTATTTGTGAGAATCGCAGGCCACCTGCGGCTTCTGGGACTCGCCAGCATGTTGGGGACGACCTTAGAGGAGGCTCATAAGCATGGACCAGTGGAATGCCCACAAATCTGACCATTTTGGATCAAAAGTACCAGCAGGACTCAAAGCTGACATGAAAAAAACAGTCTGCCTGAAAAAAACCAACAATTGTGGCTTATCTGAATCCGACTACCCCGTTCGGCCTTGAACCGGCCGACTTATCAAATTTCTCCTGGGATATGTGCAGACTAAGGAAAAGCTATGTCTACTGCAACACCCGAGAACTTCTGTGAACGCTTATCAGAACTGTACCGGCTGACACCAACATCTTATCAGGACTATGGTGCTATCTGGACAAATCTCACCGTCTTGACGTCAAATGCATATGTAATGTGTTTATAAATGTGCTGCTGGTAGAGTTTTTATGTCTTAAATCATGTCCTGATAAGGACAAGGTGTGAAGAGATCTTTTTGTAATACCACTATTCATCTTCATGGCCTTTTCCCCTTTTCTATTTAAAAGTATTCTGAAAAAGGATAAGGGGCCGTGCTCTCAAGGAGCAGCAGCAGCAACGTGCACTCGGACCATCTTTCGGACGACTGTACGAATATAATCTCACTGTATTTCAGTACAACGATAATAAAGCTCATTCTGATTCTAATTCTAATTCTGAGTGGTTTCACCTGATTCTGGAGCCGGCTGAACTTCTTTTGCTGCTGCAGGAGACAGATCCACAGCATCCAAGTTATCTGATGGAAAAAATAAGAGGAAAAAAATGTAGCGGAGATTCCTGGAAACATTTCAGGAAGCAAAAACTTCCTGAACAGCAAAAATATTCAGATGATGGAGAGATTTTAGGTTTAATTAAAACCTTTACATTTAAATAAAAAAAGCCATTCTAGATAAATTTAGACTCAGATTTTATTTTTCGCATGCACATATTTAAAATGTTCATTTATTTATTAATCTGGTTTCTGCACACAGGAAGAACATCAGTAAACGCAGCTGAATTTGTTATTTATGTGTACAATAAGATCTTCAGGCGTACAACAAGACTCAAAGATTCACAAAAATAATGCTGCGTTCAGGGCCAGCGAAAAGCTGGGAATAAGCGTCATATCACTAATTTGAAATACATTTGACTTTTTAATATTCTCTCGTGTCATTTCAGTTTTTAAAACATTATATTTTTAATAAACAGGACATTTTAAATATTTTTTAATTTCTAATTTAAATATTCAAACTCACTTCCTGTTTTTGTTTTATTTTTTTTTAGTTTTCCCTGCAGAAGCTAAAGTGTAAAATTACATCCAGTTTTAATTGCTAATAATTTTAATTTAGTCTAAAAGCACAGGGAGGAAACACGCGGAGACAAAAATATAGATTCATGTTAGAATTATAGGGATTTTTTTCTACGTTTCGAAAGTGAAGCTTCAGTTGCGTTCGAGTTCATCGCCCTGACAAACAGATCGTACGTTTTACTTCTCGGCTCAGAGGAGCAGCAGCGGTGTCAGGAAATGAGCCGAACGTTTGTGGTTTTCAGATTCAGAAGCGTCACAGGATGTGGGTCTGAAAATGTGTTGGTCTGTTTTATTCAGAATGTGGGGCTCCGCCTCTCCATTAGGAACAAAAACAACGTGACGTCAAAGCGCCTCGGTGTGCGAGTGTGTACCCAGGTCCTGGCTGCAGCTCTCGGCGATGCGATAACAGTGCATCTTGCTGAAGTTTCTGGACTGGAGGCGGACACAGGCTGGGTGCAGCAGCATGCAGCGCAGACGTCCCAGAGTGCACTCTGTCGGCACGCTCAGATAACACGCGGCGTGGCTCTGCAGGCGACACAGCAACAAACAGCTCGTCAGTCCGTCTGTCAGGAGGCACTTTTCAGGCTCTGCTGAACCAAAACGCTGGTTCTCCTGAGAAACAATCCTGGTAATTCAGCTCTAATGACTGATAGAAAACTGAAGTCTTGATCCAGAACTCCTGATCCAGTCCTCATCGAGGACCCAGAAGCACTTCTTCTTCTTTCAGCTTTTCCCTCTTCAGGAAGTCATCCTCCTCCACCTCACTCTGTCCTCACTCCAACCACCTCCATGTCCTCTCTAACTGCATCCATATATCTTCTCTTTGTCTTTTTCCGGGAAGCTGCATCTCTAACATCCTTCTACCAATATACCCACTGTCCCTGCGCTTGACATGTCCAAACTACTGTCCCTCCTCTGGACATGTCCAAACCACTGCCCCTCCTCTGGATATGTCCAAACCACTGTCCCTCCTCTGGACATGTCCAAACCACTGTCC